GAAGTTTTCGACTATTATATCTTTGAACAAGCTTTCTGCTCCTTTCTCCCTCCCTTCTCCCTCTGGAATACCTATAATCCTTATGTTGCTTTTCCTAATTGAGTTGGATATTTCTCAAAGAATTCCTTCATTTTTAAAAAATCTTAGTTCTCTTTCCTCCTCCACCTCTAGCATTTCTATGTTTATATCCTCTAAATCACTGCTTCTTCCTGCATAACACCAGCTCTATTTCTTAAGGTTTCTAGATTATTTTCTATTTCATTAATTGTGTTTTTCATATCTAGAATTTCTGGTTGATTTTTTTTTTATAGTTTCAATCTCTTTGGTTAAGTATTCCTTCTTCTCATTAATTTTATTCCTGAGCTCATTAAACTGTCTTTCTGAGTTCTCTTGTAACTCATCGTGTTTCTTTATGACAGCTATTTTGAATTCTCTGTCATTTAGATTATAAATTTCTTTGCTTTCAGGGTTGGTTTCTGGAGAATTGTTATTTTCCTTCTGGTCTGAATTGTTGCTATAGTTTCTCATGGTGTTTGATAAACTAATCTTTTGTTGGCTCATTTGTGTAGTATTAGGTCACAGATTCCACCTACTACTGCTAGGGGGAAGCAGGAGGAGAGTTTCTGATCTCACCCTTTCTGCTGGAAGTTGTGGGGGTACTATGGGCACAATGTGCTGGCCTGGAGAGCATTCAGATGCCTGCATAGACTGTGCTTGGTGGGCAGGACTTCCTCTGGGGGGTGGAGCCAGGGCTTCTCCTTGGGGCCACAGGGGCACGGTGGGCTCCCCCACCACTGGGAACATGATCATGAGCAGGCTAAGGGTTGCCACCGCCACTTCCTTCAGTCTCTGCAAGGCACAGTCTCACTTTCTGGTGCAGCATTTCTATGTGCAGTCACATGTGTCAGAAGTGTAATTGCCCTTGCACATAGATCTGCCTCTGCCTCTGCTTGTGGTCCCGCTGGCTGCTGTGCTTGGTGGGTGGAGCTTCCTCACAGGGACAAAGCCAGGGCCACTCCTTGGGGTCACAGTGGTACAGTGGGTTCCCCTACCTCCAGCAAAGTGATCATGAGCAGGCTAAGGGCTGCCGCTGACACTTTCTACAGTCACTCCAGGGTGTGTTCCCACTTTTGGGGCTCAGTGGTACTATGGGTACTTGAGTTGGCCTGGAGTTCAGTTGCCTTGTCATGTAGATCTGCTGCTGTTTCTGCATGTAGTCCTGCAGGCTGTGCTGGTTGGCAGGGCTTCCTTGCAAGGACCAAGCCAGGGCCACTCCTTGGGGCCACAGGGGCACAGTGGGCTCCCCTACCACCAGGAAAGTGATCATGAATGGGCTAAAGCTTGCTGCCACCTCTTCCTACAGTTACCCTGGGGTGTGTTCCCACTTTTGGGGTGCAGTGGTACTATGGGCATTTGTGCCAGGCTGGAAAGCATTTGTGCACGTGCACAGGGCTGCCAGGGAAGGGCAGGGAGTGCTCACCTATCTCTACCATTTCCCAGAGGGCCAGTCAATCCACCCTCAGATGTATAGCTGTGTGGGTCTCTCAGGTGTCCTGTTGTGCTGTGTGGGCTTCCTCTGTTTGTCCATGCATGTCCATTTAGTTGTAGTTCAAAGGGGGGAGAGACAAAGGGAACAGCTCACGCTGACATGTTACTGATGTCACCTCCTAGAAAATGTTTAATATAGGCTTGAGAAGCATGTGTATTCTACTGTTGTCAGATAGAATGTTCTGTAAATGTCTGTTAGGTCCCTTTGGTCTTTGGTGTTGTTCAAATCAGCTGTTTCCTTATTGGTTCTCTGCCTGGATGGACTATCCATTGTTAAGATTGGAGTATTAAAGTCCCCAAATATTACTGTATTGCTGTTTATTCCTACTTCTAGCTCTGCTAATTTTTCTTTATGTATTTAGGTGCGCCAATGGTGGGCATATATTTAGAATTGTTATATCTTCTTGGTGTATTGACCCCTTTATAGTTATATGATTACCTTCTTTGTCTCTGTGCCATTTTTAGTTTAAAGTCTATTTTGTCTGATGTAAGCATAGCTACCCCTGATTCTTTTTTTTTTTTTTGGTTATCATTTACTTGAAATACTTTTTTCCATCCTTTTATTCTGTCTATGTGTGTCTTTAAGGCTAAAGTGAATCTCATGTAGGCAGCTTATCATAAGATCTTGTTTTTTATCCATTCAGGCATTCTATATTTTGATTGAAAATTTAGTCCATTTACCTTTAAAGTAATTATTGATAGGTAAGGGTTTACTGTTGCTATTTTGTTAATTGTTTTCTGGCTGTTTTGTAGATATACTTTTCCTTATTTCCTATCCTATTGTGTTTTTTTTGTGTTTTTATGTCTTTTGGTTTCAGCATGCTTTGACTTTTTTATCATGTTCTTTTATACATTTACCACAGGTTTTTCCCTTGTGTTACCAGGAGGCTTACATAAAAAATCTTAAAACTATAACAACCTATTTTAAACTGATAACTTAACCTTGATAGCTTTCTTAAACTTTACACTTTTACTTCTTCTCCCCCTCATATTTGAGGTTATTGATGTTATAGTTTACACAATTTTTATATTTTTTATCCAATAACAGATTATTCTAATTATGATTATTTTTACTACATTTGCTTTTTAACTTTTAAACTAGAGTTGTAAGGAATTATACACCACCATTACCTTATTACAGAATCTACCTTTGACTATATATTTACCATTACCAATCACTTTTTTGCTACCTTCTTATGTTTTTATGATGTTAACAAGTGCTCTTTTACTCCATTCAAAGAACTCCCTTTAGCATTTCTTGTAAGGCAGGTATAGTGATGATGAACTCTTTCAGGTTTTTTTTTGTTCTAGGAAGTCTTTATCTCTCCTTCATTTCTGATGGACAGTTTTACCAGGTATAGAATTCTTAGTCGACAGTTTGTCTCTTTCAGTATTTTGAATATAGTATCCCATTCTCTCCTGGCCTGAAAAGTTTCTTTTGAGTAATCTGCTGATAGTCTAATGGGGCTTCCCTTGTACATAACTTCTCTCTTTCTCTACCTACTTCAAAATTCATTCTTTGTCTTTGATTTTTACAATTTAATTATACAGTGTCTCAGTTTAGCCTTATTTGAGTTCAATCTATTTAGGGTCCTTTGAGCCTCATGGATCTGGATTTCCATTTCTTTTTCCAGATTTGGGAAGTTTTTGGCCATTATTGCTTTAAATATACTTTCTGGGGCCGGCTCCGTGGCTTAGCGGTTAAGTGCGCGCGCTCTGATGCTGGCGGCCCGGGTTCGGATCCCGGGAGCGCCCCGAGGCACCACTTCTCCGTTCAACGTGAGGCCGGGTCCCACGTACAGCAACTAGAAGGATGTGAACCTATGACATACAACTATCTACTGGGGCTTTGGGGGGAAAAAACTGAATAAATAAAATCTTTAAAAAAAAAAAAAAATATATACTTTCTGTTCTTTTCTCTTTCTTCTCCTTCTGGGATTGCCATAATGCCACAATGTTTGTTTGTGACCTGTAAGTCCTATAGGCTTTCTTCACTCTTTTTCATTCTTTTTGCTCCTCTAACTGGATAATTTCAAATGTCTTGTCTTCATAGTCACTGATTCTTTCTTCTACTTGGTCAAGTATGCTTTGAAGCTCTCTATTGAGTTCTTCAGTTCAGTCATTGTATTTTTCAACTCCAGGATTTCTGTTTGTTTGTTTTGAATGTTTCTGTTTCTTTGTTGAACTTCTCATTTTATTCATGCATTGTTTTCCTAATTTTGTTTAGTTGTTTGGCTATGTATTCTTGTAGTTCACTAAACTTCTTTAAAAGGATTATTCTAAATTGTTTGTCTGACAGTTGTCTTCATTTCTCCATGTTTCCATTTCTTTAGGCTCAGTTATTACTACTTTATTAGTTTCCTTCATTGGTGTCATGTTTACCTGTTTTTTCATAATCCTTGATTCCTTGTGTCTGTATCTGCTCGTTTGAATAAGTGGTCCCCTCTTCCCAATTTTACGTGTTAACTTTGGCAGATACAGTTCTTCATCAGTCAGCTCAGTTTGGGCTTCTAGATGTGTACACTGGTAATGTCCTTGGGCAGGTAGGGCTAGCTATTAGGGTCTATTATTGGACAATGTCACTGCCAAAGCTCTGAAGTTTGTGGGTGGGGGAGTGCCACTGGCTAAGAAAAGTTGGATAGGACTGCTGGCTTAGTTCTCTGCCCAAGCTAAGCTGTAAGATGGGCTCCATGGTTGCCTGGGCTCTCTGGTCAGACTTAGTAGGTGGTTGGGACTAGATACTATACTCAGTAGTAGGCAGGGCCCTGAATTAATTTCCCTGCCCTGGTGGGGCAGGAGAACAGGCTCCTAGACCCACGTGGCTCATTGTTTGGAGACCCAAATTAGGCAAGATTATGGACTGAATTCACTGGCCAGACAAGGCCACTGATTTTGTTCTATGGATGGGGAAATCCACGGCTGTGCTCTCTGTTCAAGTGCCGCTGTAAGCAAGGCTATTGGACAGGCTACAAAGCTTCCTGTATGCTCTGGTTAGGTTCCCTGGTCAAGATGGCTGAAGGCTGTAGGCTGTATTCAGCAATGGGTCTACAAATTAGTTTCGCCTGCCTGAGTAGGAGAAACAGCTCCAAGGTTGGAAAGACTCTTTGTTTGTGGTCTTGATTCAAGCTGACCCATGTCCCAAGTTCCCTGGACAAACAGTGCCACTGACTTTGCTCTGTGGATGATCAGCTCTGCTTGCTGGACACTCTGCTTGAGCATTGCTGGGCTATGCAGCTTCCAGGTTCTCTGGCCAGCCTTTCTGTTTAGGCAGGTCCAGGAACTATACTCAGCAATGGGCCAGGCTATGACTTAGCTCTCCTGTCTGGGTGAGAGTAGAACACACTCCAGTACTGGAAAGCTCTTTGTTTGGAGACCCAAATCAGGAAGACCTGCACCTCACTAACTTCACTGGTCATACTGTGTCACCTTCTTGGCTCTGCAGATGGGCAAAGCCACAGGTTGGGACTACTACTTGGGCACTGCAGGTAGAAATTTTGTCTGCCCAGACCGGAGTGCTGGTGTGGCAAGCTCCTCCCTGCTTCTCTGTTACAATCAGATTCCCTCTGGTCAAGCCATGCAGATTCCCCTGCAATCCCTGTGGGGTGGTACCCACAGTGGGTACTCCCAAGAAATGACGTACAACACTGAGTGAGCTGGATGTCCACTCTGGGATCCCTTTTCCCACTAGAGGAACTGAATGCTCAAGGGAGACCTTTCGGCATGGTGCTCCACTGGGCCTGAGGTAGGGGTACTGTGTTCAGAGCGTAGCTGCTGCTGACACTGTGCTAATGTTGTCTGTCTTGGTCTCGGTGGTGCAGGAGGGTGCTTCAACTTCACCCCTGTGTTCTAGGGTTTTCTCAGTGGTATCTTGTCCGTGAATAGTTGTTAATTATTCTTTTTTTGAGGGGAAGTGAAGTCAGGAATGACCTAGGTCACCATCTTGGTGACATCACTCTCAGTTTCTTTTTCTCACTCTAAGAGTAAAACCTTTGTCGCTTTGGTTAAGTCTTTGACATTTCTCCATTTCACGTGTCTCCTGTAAAAAGTAAGGTGAGTCATCTGTGACCTCTGAGGTTCCGTCTAACTTTAACGTGATGCCTAGTGTGTTTATTTTTACTTCTCAATGCATCCTGAAGTGTAAACATACATGGTCCACTATTCCCTCCACAGGCCCATTCATTCTCCACTATAATATAGCCTTCATGAAGGTAGAGAAAATAAACAATTTGTTTATTGATAAATCTCTACGGGGCTTTTTAATAAATCTTTGTTATGTAAAATGATTCATACTTGATTCTTCTGCTATATTTTCTCTTCATTCATACATCCCTTCATTAATACATCTTGTGTTAAGTTACTTAGCAAATACTTATTGATCACCTCATTACCTGCTTCTTTTTGATTCTCTGGATCCTATCTGCTGTCAAAGTCAATTGAGTTTCAGCTTTTCCCTTAAACTCGCCTGGAAATTCCAGCTATAACCAATCTCTATCTTATTTGAACTCCTACCACACACACAGCGGCTATCATATTATAATAGACCTACCAGTATAATCTTTAGGGACGTTGATGTGCTATTTATTAATACCATACTACTTACTAATATACTATCTTTTAACAGTTCTGGTTTTCTCATAGAGTCTGAGGATGTTTCAAAGGCAGGAATATTATAACACTTGTTTTCTAAAATTTATCCATGGCCTCTAATACCATCTACACACAGAATCTGAAAACTGTAATTTAACACATTCTCTCTTTCTCTGCCCCTCTTTCTTTCTCCCAATAACATGTGCAAGCACATACATACACACACAACCCTGAATGGCACTTCAGCATCCATGGATTTATTCTGGTAGAGATTGAAACAGGAAAAAGGGAGAAGTGATATATACTCCAGGAAATGGCCACTGAATTTTTGTCTGATTTTCAAGGACAATGGCAATCTATAATTACCTGACATATAAGTGTTTCATCCCATTTTCTAGTTTTGCCCGTGATATGAAAATGCTCTTTCCTTCCTTATCTTTGCCACGATTTCTTTTTTTGCTGTGAGAAAAGCCAAGTAGTCTGAAGCTATGCTGGTGCACAAAGCATTTTAAAATAGCCTTCATTTATGAGCAATCAACTATGAAGGACTAACATTTAAGGAACCTTGCTGTGTCCTTTTTTGAGATTATAGCTTCTACACAAGTGACAAATGTATTTAGATGGAGAATGAAGTGTTCTCTGTACGGTTTTAGATTTGTATAGTTAGCAGTCATATCTTTTAGGATAAAATGCCCAATGGGGAAATGTTGAAGAATACTAATAACTACCAATAAATAACTAAAATAGATGTTGTCCCAGAAGTGCAACAGCAGGCTATACTTCCAGGGAGTAAATTTGGGTGGATGATTTATGATTCCTTTCTGAGGAAATATTAATAGTTTTTCTGACTGTACATTTCTCTTACTCAAAAAATTCAGAGGGAGATGAGAGAGAGGAGACAGAGAGGAAGAGAGAGATTTCTAATAGTTTATCTTATGTCTACTCTTTCTAGGTGAATACTATGTGTGAAAAATCTCAAAAGAAAAATTTATGGTAATGCATCAATAATTCCCTATTTTATATATTTCTTGTGGCCAAAGCCCTATTGATCCAGTAAAACTTTGATAAAAAGAACATTATATAAATAATTCCTAATCAAGAGGATGACAAACATAGAATTATATATAATATAGAACCAAACTACATCTCCCTTTTATTCTCTTTAAAGCAAGAATACACGAAGATATCACTATATTTGAGCTCTCTCCATATTATAAATAAATGAGCAACATTTTAGATAAGCATAAATAAAAATGGAGACTTCTTCCGCTAGGAGAAAATGTCTTGTTTAAGGTCTGCTATATGGCATTTGTTAAAAATTTAGGCCAATGCCAAAGCTAGAAATAATGATGACTGCCTTAAACATAACACAGGAGATTTCTGAGTATTGAGGTTGGAGCATGAGAAAAGATAAATGTTTAGTGTGAAATAGTGACTTAGAAATCATCTTGTGACTCATTTCACAGGTGATGATATTGAAGCCCAGGGAGATGCAGTGACAAGCCAGACTTAGAAACTAAGTCCCAGAAATCCAGAATCCAGATTTCCTCATTCAGAGGAATATAGTGTCCTTTTCTTTCCATATTTAAATTGATAAGTTGAAGTAGAGTAGATATTTCAAAGTATAGATATTTTTATATCTTCATAAATGTTATTATAAAATCCTCATTTTCTAAAACAATTGAAAGTAAATTAAATGCTAAATTTAATGCATCCTCTCAAAGTTCACGAAAAATAAGCTCCTGACATAGCTCTTGTTTTGTTTTGTTTTTTGTTGGTGTTGTTTTCATAGTAAAGTATACACAACAGAAAATTTCCCATTTTACCACTTTTAGGTGTACAGTTTTGAGATATTAAGTATACTTACATTGTTGTGCAACCATCACCATAATCTCCAGAAATTTTTTATCTTCTCTAACTGAAACTTTGTACCCATAATACCAACTCTCTGTTTTCACCTCCTCCCAGCCTCTGGCAATGATAATTCTTTCTATCTCTGTGAATTCGACTACCCTAGGGACTTCATGTAAGTGGAATCATACAATATTTGTCCTTTTGTGACTAGCTTATTTCACGTAACATGATGTCTGCAAGATTCATCCATGTTGTCCATATTTTTTTTAGTAACAAAAATGTCTATTTTCTTTTTTCCTCTATCGTTACTGAGGTGTAACTGACAAAAATTGTATATATTTAAGGTATACAACTTGATGTTTTGAAGATCTACCTTCTTAGCAAATTTCAAGTATACAACTATAGTCACATTGCTGTACATTAGAGCTCCAGAATTTATTCATCTTGCATAGCTAAAACTTTGTACCCCTTGACCAACATCTCCTCATTTCTTCCTCCTCTCAGCCCCTGGCAACCACCATTTTACTTTCTGCTTCTATGATTTGATTATTTTAGATTCAACATACAAGTGAGATCATGCAGTATTTGTCTTTCTATGTCTGACTTATTTCACTTAGCATAGTGTCCTAGAGGTTTATCTATGTTGTTGCAAATGACAGAATTTCCTTCTTTTTCAAGGCTGAATCATACTCTGTTTTATATAAATACATACATTTGTATATATATATTTCATATATATACTATATATATATAGCATATATCATATTTTCCTCATTTATTTGTCCATTGCTAGACTTTTAGGTTGTTTCCATATCTTGGCTGTTGAAAATAATGTTACAATGAATATGGGTGCAGATATTTCTTTGAGATCCTGATTTCATTTTCTTTAGATATTTACCCAGAAACGGAATAGCTGAATCACATGATAGTTCTATTTTATTTTTTTGAGGAACCTCCATACTCTTTTCCATAGTGGCTCTACCTACATTTCTACCAAAAGCCTCAAAAGTTCCCTTTTCTCCACATCCTTGTCAACATTTGCTATCTTTTGTTTTTTGGTAAAAGCCATTTTAACAGGCGTGAGGTGCTAGCTAATTGCAATTTTGATTTGTATTTCCCTGATGATTAGAATGTTGAGCACCTTTTCACTATTTGTATATCTTTTTTTGAGAAATGTCCATTCATGTTATTTGCCCATTTTTTTCAGTTGAGTTGTTTGGGGTGTTTTGCTATTGAGTTGTGTGAGTTCTTTATATATTTTGGATATTAACTCCTTAAAAGACAAATGGTTTGTAAATATTTTCTCCCATTCCATAGATTGTCTTTTCACTCTGTTGATGGTTTCCTTTTCTCTGCAGAAGCTTTTTAGTTTGATGCAATCCCACTTATCTATTTTTTCTTTTGTTGTCTATACCTTTGGCATCATATTCAGAAAATCATTACCCAGACCAATGTCAAGAAAACATTTCCCTACATTGTTTTCTAGTAATTTTACGGTCTCAGGTCTTACTTTTAAATCTTTAATCCATTTTGTGCTGATTTTTATATATAGTGTAAGATAAGGGTCCAATTTCATTCTTCTGCATGTGGATATTCAGTTTCCCAACACCATTTGTTCAAGAGACTCTTCTTTTCTTTTGTCTCAAAGAGTCTGTGAGTCTACACTGCTTGAAAGCTAACAAGCTAGTTTGTTAAAATTACAAGGATGTTGTTCGAAGCACTAGAATCCTGGGTTAGAGGTAAATGGATTTCTTCCTTGGGGCACAATATGCAACATGAGCATCATATGTGGATCAGCCCTTGCCTCGCGAGTCCCAGAAATCCAATGTGAAGGTGCTAGAGATACTGTCCTCATAGTGGGCACACATCACAGCTGAGGAACCCTGAGCTGAAGGCATCCAAATCTTTTTTGCTGATGGCTGACAAGCAAACCTGCTCATTGTCCCAGAAAGAGACATTACTAGACTGTAAGTAAATCTGTCTTTAGTTTCTGAGAGATCCCAATTTTTCAAGGTGGTTCACTATAAACACAGCCTTGAGAAGATAATATGGAAAAAAAAGGGCAGTCAGTACTTTACTCACGAGACATTCTATAGAATCATTCATTTATTCATTCATCCTTCTACTCACTTTTTCCACTATTCAGTGAGCAATCCGTCTCTGCCAGAGACTGTTCTATGCTTCCATATCTCTCCATTTCAACAAACAGGATAGATCTGTCTACTTTAAATCAGTCAGTCAATCCACGGACTTTTCTAACACAATAGCAATGTCTTTTCTGATGCTCTTCTTTCAACTTAGAAAATCCTTACTTTTTTCTACTAATTCAAATCCTCTGTTTTTCTCAAGAAAAAAATAAAATACTATATTCTTTACTCATTCTTTTTTGATTCCTGTGATTGGAGCTAAACATCAACTTTTGTTGAGCTCATATAAAACTTGCAGCCTACATTTTTATAACCATTTTTGAATTTTTGCTTTCTTTGATGTTTGTCAGAGTTTTTGTGTTTAGTTCTAACTCCCTATCTTGGTTGTTAGTTCCAAGGGATGAGAGTCTGCTCAATCCTCGTTTTTTTTTCATACCCTGTAGTGCCTTTGCAGTCTCTTGCTCATAGTTGGAAACCACATATTAATTAAAATTGATTTCTTTGGAATTTGGTCTGTGCTGCAGCTGGGATTTTAGTTGATATGCAAAATTACAGTGATTAACAAGTAGTTACATCATTTAACCGATTTTTTCCAATGCATTTGTACTTCCATAGGAAAAAAATATATAAATATCATATATATGGTATGTGCTTTATTCCCATTTTCTGGGCCAACATTATTGTGCCTGCTGAGGTGGAATTTAGCAATTCAGAAACCAAGTTCTACCTTCTACCTGTTGATTGGTTACAGTTGGAAAACAGGTATATTGCCTTAAAAAAAACCCAACGTTAGAAATAGGGTTCAGGAACAAAATGACTAAAAATAAAATAACTAATAATACCAAATATTGTCAAGGATGTTGAGCAGCTGAAACTCATGTATCACTGGAGAGAGTCTAAAGTGATACAATTACTTAAAAAAATTGTTTCACAATATCTATCAAGGCTAAACATGCATATACTCTGTGACTGAGCAATTACTCTCCTGGGTATATAGCCCCCAAAACAAATACATATGCCCATCAAAGAGCATGTCCAAGAATGTCCAGAGCCAGCCCTGATGGGCTAGAGGTTAAAGTTCAGTACACTCTGCTTCAGCAGCTTGGGTTCTGTTCCCAGGAACCACACCACTCGTCTGTCAGTAGCCATGCTGTGGCAGTGGCTCACACAGAAGAAATAGAAGGACCTACAACTAGAATATACAACTATGTACTGTGGCTTTGTGGAGGGAAAAAAAGAGGAAGATTGGCAACAGATGTTAGCTTGGGGCGAATCTTTCCCAGCAAAAAAACAAGTAGAAAAAAAAAGCATTCTCACTGATGCAAATACATTAAAAAAAAAAAGAGTGTCCATAGTAGGCTTATTCATAATAACAAAATAATGGAAATAACTCAAATGTACATCTACAAAATAATTGATAAATTATGGTATATTCACACAATGGAATACTACATAGAAATTAAAATAAATTTATCTCTGCTACACATAACAATATAGATGGATCTTATAACACAAAATGTTGAATGAAGGTAGCATTTACCTCTGTGGGGTATTGACTATTTGGGGGTAGGGGGAAGAAGCCTGCTGGCATGCTTTAAATTTTCTATATTTTTATACATGTGTAGTATTTACACTTGTGTTTTATGTGTCTGTACGTATATACATATATAGTGTGTACATATATAGTGTGTATAGTGTGTACATACATTGTGTATATATAGTATGCATATATATACATTCACACAAATACATTAAACAGCTCAGTTAATATTTTTAAGATTTTAACAGTTTTTCATATGTAAATTACTCCTTAAATTTTTGAAGGAAAAGGAGGAGGAGATTAAACTATGTTAGTGGTAAAATGAACAAAGTCTGAGGTCTAGGACCTAGAAACTGGAAATCCTATTGGCATAGATGACATTTTTGAAATGTTGGTCAAGGTAAGAGGTGGGGCAGAATGGGAAAGCACTGAGAGAGGTATGATTTACATCGTAAAGGGTAGAGAGCTACTCAAGAAAGAATAGAATAGATCCTGAGTCTAAGGATGAGGAAAGATATAAGGGAAATAAAACTAGAATTTATTTTTGTGCAGTTCGGGAAAATAAATGTGCATGTTGCAAAACATTCAGTAAAAACTGAGTTCTCATACCAATACCTGAGTTTAGAGTAAAACCTCAGTTCTCATTGGCAAAAATGGAAGCCAGAAGGTAAAGGACTAATATCTTCAATAATTAGAAAGATAATGAAAGGCAACCTAAATTCCTTTATGGAATAACATTACCAAGAATTAGGGAAATAAAAGACATTTTCAGAAAAATAACAATACAGTTTACCATTACTCTGTAATTAAAGAAAATTACAAAGAATACACTATATAAGAAATATGATCTCAAATGGAAAATCAGGGATACAAGAAGAAATGGTGAGCAAAGAAATTGATAATCATGTGGAAAATCTAAATATTGATGAATATTGGCTACATAAAATAATAAATTATGTCTAAATCATAGAGTTGATAAAAGCAGACATAAAAATAGTTTGGAAGTAGGAAAGACTGTGATAAGAATTAAAGCATTTTAAATTGTATTCTTCAGGAGGAGGGTAAAATATTGACTAACTTTGCACTTCATCATACGTAAACATAAATATTAAACTTAACTAAAATAACCACTTATTATTGAATTCAAAAGGTTGTGTGGGAATGTAATAATAAAAAGGAAAATAATTTCATCCTAATAAAAGGTAAAATTGAAATAAATTAAGTAACAGAAAATATAGGACAAATAGAAACATATAACATGGGAGAAATATCCCTAAATATATTACCAATCACAATAAATGTAAATAGACAAAAAATCTCCCATTAAAAGGCAAATCTATTCAGACTGGTTTAATAAAAAACACAAACTTCTAAGCAACTCAAGAGTCAAAGATGAAACACAATTGTCAATAGAAAATATTTAGAAATAAATGTATATAAACTGTTATTTATTAAACTCGAGATGAAGCTAAAACACATCACAGAGGAAAATATTTAGCATTAATACTTACCCTTAAAATGGCTCATAATTAATGTGTTCAGTTTTCATATAAGATAGTAAGGGATCAGATAGGAGAAACTTGAATAAAACAGAAAAAAGAAATAAAAATAATAGCAGAAAAGAATGAAATATAAAACAAACATAACAGAGAAGACCAACCAAGAGTTATGCTAGTACTTTGCAAAGATTAATAAAAGAGATAAAAATATTAATAAATGAAAAAAGATAAAGGAAATAGTAACATTTTATTCTATAAAAGGACACATAGCTACCATTGTTGAAGAAATGGGAAAGGCAAAAGAAAATTTACAATTTATGCCAATAAATGTAAGAACTCTGTGAACCAATTTTTTTTAAAAGCCTGGTGAAATAAGACTTACCCAAACTGACTCTAGATGAAATAGAAAACTTAAAGTCTATAGCCATCAATGAAACTAATTCATTATTTTATAAATGTAACCTCCAGGAAAATCATAAGTCTAAGAAATGTTATTTCTATCAGTCATTCTAACAAGTTAGAATTCAAATCCTAAATAAATCCCTCCAGATAGTAGAAAAAGGGGAACATTCTCTAATTCATTTTTAAAAGCTAACATAACCCTGATGTAAAATCCAAGTAGGGACAATACAGTAAATGAGCAAAATAGATTACTCTAGCTCAGGGTAAAGTTACAAAGACCTAAACCAAAAATAAATAAACTTAATCAAGTAGCATATAAAAAGGCAAATACAACACGAACACTTTGGATTGACATTAGTTTAATATTAGAAAATCAATTAACATAATCAACAACATTAAATGACTAGGAGAAAAGGCCACATGATCATCCTAAAATAGATAAAGTGTTCAAGAAATTCAAAATAAATTTAAAAGTTAAAAAACTAGCAATTTAAGAATTCAAGGGAAGTTTTTTAACTTGATAAAAGGAATCTATAAAAAAACTACAGCAAACATGCTATCTAATG